GGATGGTTAAGGATGGAGGAGATTGACACGGATTACAAACGACGAACTTGAAAAATTTAGGCTAAACTTTTCAAGATGCGCAAACCGTGACGTAGCTCACTTAAGTGCTAGCTGACAATCCCTCGATTACCACTCGTTTATTGATCTTTGCACCTGTTGTACAAAGCAAACTAACTACAGGCTGCGTCAGAGGTTTCGCACTAAGGCAAGGCTATAGCAAAGTGCTGGAGCAAATTTCAACAGGAAAACGGGTTTTAATCATTTCGATAAGAAAATGAGTGCTTGAAAAGAGCGGAATTAAAGTTATCAAGAGTCGGTACATCTGAGAATCTTCGGCAAACTTCGGAAGACAATCGTAAAGATTCGTTTAATGCCTTCGGATCACCATGGAAAATCTTCGTCCACAAGTCACCCATTGCGCTTCTTTTCCTTTGCTTTACAGATGCTGACGAATGTGCCGACGGGTCACATGATTGTGACGTCAATGCCGACTGTAACAATACTGTGGGATCCTACATATGCTCCTGCAAACCAACATATTTCGGAAACGGAAAATACTGCACAAGTTTCCGTGAGTCTTTCGCCTGTCATGTTTCCAATGATTATATAAATTAATATTCGAACCCTTCTGTCCCTACCTTTGTGATCTTGGGATGGCTTTTGTTTCCTTCGCGCGCCACGTGGGGGTGAGCAAAAAGATCAAGATCTATTTTTATCTCATACAAAGACAAAGCCTTTGTGGGTGGCTCATGTTCGCGGGGGCCTCATGGTAAGTGCGCTCGACTCCGGATCGAGCGGTCTGGGTTCGAGTCTTGGCCGGGGACATTGTGTTGTGTTCTTGGGTAAGACACTTTACTCTCACAGTGCCTCTCTCCACCCAGGAGTATAAATGAGTACCAGTGGGGGGAAGGAGGGAGGAGTAGAAATACTCCTAATCCCTTCATACCACAAAAACCGGGATAAGCTCCGGCCTGATATTTGGCCGGGCCAATTGGCCCGTATGCCGACTTAACCTTTTACCATAATTTGCTAATTTAGTTAAGATGGCTCCTGCTTTTTCTTTTGACTCAAAGTACTTTAGCCTCACTTTGCTATTTTCTCTTACCCAGGTGGCCTCGGTTCATCCGTTATTCTTGCTGGTCTCGATCGCAAAAATTACACTGAGAAGCTGATTTCCTTTTTGGACCCAGTCCTCCTGAGCTCACAGCGTAGTGGGTTTGTGCGGTGCTGGCATGCCAAGACTGACGGCTCGGCTGCATCGATATTCCACGACAACTGTGATGGAAAAGGACCCACCGTAACCATCTTTAAGTCCGGCAACTACATATTTGGTGCATATACCGACGTGTCCTGGCATAGCAGTAAGTATCAATTAGTATCAATTCTTTCTCCGGGGGTGGTACTCCCAGAAAAATTCGGCGGGGATGTGTGATCCGCTTCACAAAACCCATACCCTATTTATGACCAAAATCTGCGATTTTCCCTACCCTATTAATGACATGACCAAAAATCCGATACCTCATTTAAGACCAGACCCTTGAATCAATACCTTGTTTCAGACCTGCCTTATAATTTGTTCCTTAGTTCAGACCAAGGTTAAAGGCAATGTTTATGTGCTTTTAGTGGAAGGATAGCTTTTTCTATAAGACATACCCGATCCAAGACTAGAGTTCAAAAACCATACCCTATTTGGGACCTAAATGGCCAAAATCTATACTCTATTTACGGCAAAAACTGCTAAAAAGCCATACCCTGTGGAGCCGCACATACCTGTATAGCCCATATAAGGAAGTACCCCCCCTCCTCCGGGCAATACAATTCCTTTTCATCAGTGTTTGTTTACAGCCGAGGTATTTAGAATGTTTCAAACGTTTCTCTTCATTTCAGCTCCTTGCGACTACTCTACAGCCAGCAAAGCTTTCATCTTCTCGCTTTACAACAACAAAGGATATAACCCTGTTAAGCTGACCCAGTATCAAAATCAGGAAAAAGCAATGTATGGTTGTTCCAATTACGGACCCACTTTTGGTTCTAATAGCGGGGATCACGACATCTACATATCGGACAACGCTTTGAGCAACCAAAATTCTTCTACCCGATGTGGCTCTACGTACTCCGTCCCCCCCGGATATTCAGCTGGTGATTGCAGGTTTTTCGTTGGTCCCGCAGGGGATAAGTTCACTCCTACTAACATTGAAGTGTTCTACGAAATAGGTAATGAATATTAGCAAATGAAGTGGTTTCAACCAAAATAATCACTACAATAAGCGACTGGCTTACGATGCTCGCACCACGCTGTCGTCCAATCAGAAGTAATCTAAGATCAAAACCAATCGCAACTCGCTCGTACACAGCTTTCGCACACCTTTTCCCGCGCTTCTCCTTAGCTACATGTATTTGGTTCTGGCTTGATTGGTTCACATGATAAGTCCTCGTGTAACTTGTTTTTCAGCATAATCGCTACAATTTCTTTAGGACACCTGCCTCTGTCAGTACAATCAATTGCAGTATACTTCATAGTTGTGGGAGGCGCGGTGGCCTCATGGTTAGTGCGCTCGTCTCCGGATTGAGCGGTTCGGGTTCGAGCCCTGGCCGGGGACACTGTGTTGTGTTCTTGGGCAAGACACTTTACTCTCACAGTGCCT